AGTAGTCATCCCATCAGGGTGGTTTTTTACTTGTTTTTGAAGTATTTGAGAAGGAAGAAAGTAATGACCTGATACCTTCTTGAGCGCATGCCTAAGCTGCACTGTCTAGATGTTATTTAGAAGATGCTATAGGCCATCCTGATGTGCCCTTCTCTTTCTTCAATGTGAAAAAGGAAGGAAAAAGATACTGTTTCCCTTTTCCCTTCAGTAAAGTTACAGCCGAGTTTAGATTATGTAGAGACCCTAGTATGAGATGTTAGGGTAATTTTAAACAGGTCAAGTACATATTGCAGTAGAGAGGACAGAATATAGCACATGGTTTTGGTAAATCAGTCAGGATTTTTGATTTTTAGCTCTGGGCTCATTTGATAGTTTTAAACCCAGTGTTTCTGTGAGGACAGAAGATAACATTTCAGTAAAAAATAACAGTAAATTGTAATATTTGTTTCTCATCTTGTTGAATTATCTTGTTTAAATAAGTACTATACCTTACAGAGGCTGATATTTCCATAAAATAAGCACTTGTGCTTTTATTTATTGTTAGGATTGTCGTGATCAAATGATTGGAAGAATTTTCACTGTTGGTTTTTTTTAAGTAAGATTAGTCCTGGAGATGTTACTGTTCTCTTATTTGTATTTGTTTCATAGAAACCCACAGCCTTTTTTTGTGTCCCCTCTTAGAAACTTTCTTGTCATTACAGGGCAACCATGACATGGCCAGAGAACTGTATCAAAGCCTGCTGACTCAGGTGGCTTCAGAACACTTCTACTTCTGGCTGAACAGCTTGAAGGAGTTCTCCCATGCAGAACAGTGTCTGACAGGTTTGCAGGAGGACAACTATAGCTCAGCACTTTCTTGCATTGCTGAAGCTTTAAAATCCTATCACAAAGGAATAGCGTCACTGACGGTTAGCACAGATCTTCTACTTTAGTGATGATGTTTCTGTATACTGCAGCAGGTCTGTTTGGTTTCTGTTCTTAAACCTCTGAAAAGTTTTTAAAAATGTCTGACATCCACCAGACTGTCTTTTTGATAAGACTGCAGGGAAGAGCCAGTTGTAACACACTGCATTTTCAGGGAGAAGAGACTGTAGCTCAGCTAAGTGTGATTAGCTCAATTTCTCTTTTTTGTTTTCCTCTTGCCCCTCCCTCACTTCCTTCCTTGATCAAATGATATGATATGTGACAGATCTTTTTTAAAGTTACAGTACTTAAAATTTTCCACTCCTTGTCTTGGCTGAATAAACACTATTGTAATAGTCAAGCCTGGGAATTTGTCTAAATTGGGTGCTATCTTCTCAAGATATGGAGAAGGATTTAATAGTCTTCCTTTCTACTGAGTTCATGTTTCCTTATATTTGACAACATGAGCCTATGGAACCTAACAACAAGGCAACACCAATTTAGTAAGAGGAAGGAGGACAATTCAATCTCATAAAATCAGTCGAATTCACATGGTACCTGCTTTTATGCAAATACTTGCTGCTTCTCTGAAGTGGTGAAAAAGAAGCCATGTCTCTGTGAATGTAAACAAAAAAAGCATGAATGAATATGGACCTTCAGTTCTTCCTGGGAAGTTGCTTCTTGACAAAAGACAATCTAGCTTCACACAATACTTTTATATTTTAGTTTCCATGAAGAAATCTTTACATACAGTTTTCTGTATGTCTTCTGAATGAAGCATTTTTTTTTGGCAATTACTGGAACTGTCAATGTTATGACAATTCGGGTATTAGTGTTTAATGAAGTTCAGATATTACTGTTTATTAATAAACTGTCCCTGAATAAGCAGGAGGGATGTCAATTTTACACCTTTGTCCTCTGAGAGAAAGATCCATCATTCCTGAAGTATTTGTCTTTAACTTGTTGGCTGAGCAAATAAGGCTTTTAATTCAATATTTCAAGATTCCTCTAACCACTAGAAGACATTGAGGGGAGGACCTCATCTAATCAGATGTTAATATTTAATACAGGCAGGAAAATAACCTGCTTAAATAGGTCGTTCCATGATTCAGTAATTTAATTAGCTTTTCCCTAGAGTTTCGGTGGGTTTTTTTTCTGTTGAAGGATTCCTGTCCTCATCTCCTCTGCTGACTTCACATCCTGCATGTTGCACACAAGTATTGCACCCAGAAAAGCACTTCCTTGTGGGTGGTTGTGGTCCAGAGGAGTAAGTACAGGTTTCAGAGAGCTAGAGAAAGAGGCACTTGGGTTTCCTGGCTGTTGCTGACTTGTTGCATCACTTTAGGCAAATCCTAGCCATGCTTGAGTGTATCAGCTGTAAAAGGAGCGACTTGCTGCTTGCATCAACAGAACTCAGTATCTCAAAGGGGAGCAAAGTGCCATAAAGTGCACATGATTGTCTAACTGCTGAAGACTTAGCTGTCTCTTCCCTCTGACTTCAGCTTTACTGTTGCTGCTGTTTCAGTGTAGAGCATGACTCAGCACTGTTGGTACTGCAGACCATTAGTGCATATGATGAACCCTTTGTAGCTGGAAGACACTGTGCCAGTAAATCTGTTGCAGATGTTCAGTCAGCCCAGTTCAGCAATGATTAAATATTCAGTGTCTGATCTTGTCAAAAATTTCTCAGTTCCTTCTTGATACACATGCAACTGTCTGTCTTGCATTGCTGTATGCAAAATGTTCTTTCATGTGAGTCAGTCCACTTGAAGAGTCCCATTACTTTATGGATGAGAGATGTGGCAGGGGAGGGCAGGGACTTGTCACAGAGCAGATCAGCATTGTCTGTCTTGCTGTGTACTTGCTTGTATAGTTAGCAGAGGTTTTGAATAGTATCTGCTCAGAACATGCATCTCACTAGAAGCATTTATCTCCCGAGATCCCTTCCAACCCTTGCCATTCTGTGATTCTGTGATTGTGCTTATTTTTCACTGCTGATAATCTAGAGAAGATACAGAACTTGAACAAAACACTAATATAACCATTGATTAAGTAGCACTAACTCCAGATATGCTGGTAACAAGTGGTGGTGGTGTTTGAAGAACGTGGCTGAGCCAAAGAACTCTTTCTGTCATTTTCAAAAAAGAATTGTAACTCATTTATTGCCTGTGGCTACATGAGTAGCAGATAAGGTAAATTGCAGTATTAATGAGACAAGCTTGTATTTCCATTTACAAGAATCGAGTCCAATTTGTGCTACTAAAAATGTCTTTACTTTACTTTCTATAAAAGCATGTAGTCTCTGTAGAGCAATTACAGTGCAGTGAGATCTTTTCCACAGAGGGTTTTCTGAAACCACCCTTGCAGAATAAACTGAACAATTTCCATTCAGAAGGGATTTTTTTTTTTATGCCCTTGGAGAAGGGAAAGCCAAGTGGTAGATAAGAGGGGTTGAATGGCTCAAGTGATGAAATTGTCATCTATTCTGGATTCTCTGGTTGAAATCTAGCTTGATAGTTTAAAGTGGTTGCAGTTGGCTGATGTTTCCTCACTTTAGTCAATAGTGGGCTGGTTCTCAGATAATGTGATGTTTTGTGAGAAACTAGTTTTCTGCTTTCCTGCTGGCAAAGAAATGATTCTTAGTGAGGTTTTGGGATGGATTATAACTTCTTTCTTCCAGAAGTGACCTTTTTTTGTTGAGGAATGAGAAGCACTGGGGAAGACATGCATGAGTTTAACACATATCCAAGAAGTAAGAGAAGGTACCTGTGCTTTATTTTGCAGATGGCTTCCCCCCTGCAAAAGAAAAGTGTACTCTTCTCAAGATCCAACAGTATAAGAAAAATAAGTACTGGATTTTTGGCTTAACTGGTACCAAATCTTGAGTACTGCAATTTACCCACTTCTGGGTGTCCTAAGCTGTCACAGATGCTTCTACAAGTCAGATAAGCTCTTAGGTAGCTAAGTTTCACAGAACCATATTTTCTAAATAATAGCAGCATGTCTACCCTCCTGCAGTTTTGTTACTTACTGTTCTTAGTTGTAACTGAACTGTGTGTCTGCCTTCATCAAATGCAAGGTTCAGTGCCTTTATAATGTTCCTGTCCATTTCACAGTTCTAAAAAAAAATAAATCAAAAGTTATCACCCCTTCCTCTTGCTGCGTGTAACTTTAGTCAGTTCTTTCTCTTTTGGCTCATGCAGAGAATCACTTTTTCAGTCCTTAGTGTTTCTGTTTGCCCTCTAATTCAGTGTGTGCTCTCTTACGGTAAGGACTGTCTGGACTAAGGTCATTTGAAGCGTAATGGCTTGGCCTTGGAAAAGAGGAAATAGGTGCCCTAATAGCATTGTAACAGCTTAAGTCACATTGTTACAAGGGTGATACACTTGAAACGCGGTTGTGTAATTACCTAACTTCTGTGTCCTTCATAAGTCAGTATGATTTAAATTGAGCAAATCTGTTAAACACAATTTTTAGAAAGCGGCTTTTAGAATTGAACTGAAGGGTTCAGTTGTCTGATGAGACAGTTCAGTGACATTGTGAAGTTATTTTATCGTGTTTGCTTTTGACCTACATTGCCAACATTCCTATTACTGTGTTTCAGGCTGCTAGTACGCCACTTAATCCTCTGAGCTTTCAGTGTGGATTTGTGAAACTCAGGATTGACCTTCTGCAAGCTTTTTCTCAACTTATTTGTACCTGCAACAGCCTAAAAACAAGTCCACCACCAGCTATTGCCACAACGATTGCTATGACATCAGGAAATGATCTCCAAAGGTGTGGGCGCATCTCTAACCAGGCATGTGTTCTTGTTCCACTCTTGTGCAGTTACATTTATGACTCTGGTACGAATTTTGCTTCTCAGCAAACATATCTGACAAAAGAAATGAAAAGTGGTAGTAAAGGGTTTTGCTAAATAGGGGGCCTTGTTTTTCACCTGTAGCTATAAAAGTCTGCCTGTAGCAGGGCTTATTTTGAAGTTGAATATGTATGTATGTATGTTTTTTCACACATTCACTTGCCCAGCTTTTGAGGATATGCATGTAGTAAGCCACCCAATACACTTAAACTTGACACAAGACCTTTCAGATCTTGTTTTGAAACACCTCAGATACTGTGATTACACTAAGGAAGAATATATATAATTCTGGATTGTACTGCAACTCCTTTTGGTGAGTGTTGACAACTGACTTGATACCTTACAGAACACTAAGACAGTCTGCTTCTAAAGTGCATGTAGTCTGCAATAAGGAATCAGTAGGTAGTCTTTGATAGACAGAGCAGCTTGATTTGCCAGTAGGGGATGGGGGAGGTTGGTGGTGGGGAGTTTTTTGCTTTGCTTTATTTTTAACCTAAGGAGGGTATGTTGGTGCTGTGTTACAGGAAAAATATGTTTAATGCATGGATAATAGTTTGTCACTTTGGTGATTTTTATCTGTGTGAAGAAGTATGAACTTTATATATTTAGCCAGAGTATGTTGTCTTATTCCTTCAGTGTTGTATGTTATAGTGTAGTGGTTTTTTGGACATGTGGAGTTTTGTTTGTTTTGCTTTGCTTGGATTTTTTTGACTAGTAACATTGTCTCTGTAGATGAAACACTCAATGGAAGAATTCCGAAACCTGGCTACACGGTATGGAGATCTATATCAGTCATCTTTTGATGCAGACTCAGCAACTCTAAGGAATGTAGAACTGTATCCTTTTAAAATACTAGAATTTGTCCACTTCTCATGTGGACAGCATGAAGCTTAACTATCCTCTTTTCTATGAAGACTCGCGCAAAGTAATTTTGAAGTAGTAACATCAGGTAACAATTGCTTAAAACCTATTTGGAAATAAACATTGCCATACTATTGTTTGGAGTTGCTTTATGAACAAGTTATGACACAATTGCAACAGGATAAAACTTGATATTTTCACAGTTCTTGCTCTAGGTTTACTACAGGAGTAATGACTGTAGGATTACTTCACAGAAGCTAGAGAAATAAGGAAAAGTACCAGTAAATATACTGCATATCTTGTTTTAGGTGCCAACTTTGTAAGTCTTTTAACTCCTCAATATTAATATCAGACAACAGCAGAGCTGCCTGTTGATTTCACATGCGATAGAAGCTCTGATTTTGGATCCAGAATCTGCAAGGTACGTTTGATAGTTAACTTTCTATTCCTTTGCTATTTCTTTCTAAATCCTTGGGGCTTTGAGCCTAGGAATTCAAAGAATGTTCAGAAAGTTTCTCAGTAGACCCTTCTAATTCTACTATGGGCTTGAGGACCTGTTGCTGCTGTGCTATACCTGGCAGGATAGGGGCTGTATTTCAGGTTGCGCATTTTTACACCGATTTTGCTCTTGAGAGCACTATATTGGACTTGTCTTAAATATAGACTTACATTAAAATAAAAAACAACTTCTAATCTCTTCTTTTGTGTCATTCTGTGCTAGGTCCCATACCTACTGTTTGCACTTGTAAGCGCACATTAGTTTGCTTCAGAGTCCTGAAAATATATGCACTAAATTATTTTATACTTCCAATGTAAATCCATCACCTATGGCTCTCTTTTAACAGTGAACACACACCCACTAGAAAATCCCATTGAAGTACCTATGAATTGAATCAGTCTTTAAAACTCCCAGGCTGAGATTAAATGGAAGATAATGTGGATAAACATCATCCTAAATGTGTGATTTTGTAACTGTAAATAAAAGTGAACATCCTAAATGACTGTCCTACTCATGAATTAAGCATTGCTTAAAGATATATTAATCATACTTGTAAAAAGTTTGAAGCTGTGGACTTCAAAACATTAGGTGCCTAGGAGATGGAATTGTATTCAAAGGATGAGATTATAAACTTCCAGATTTAGTTTTAACTCTGACTGGCACTCTTGCTTTTCCTTGAGTTGTGAGACTTTTAAAAACATTATAAACACTGCAGGCTTAAATAAAAGCAAGGGGAATTAAGCACGCTGAGTCTGTTAGACTTGTAACTGCTTCAAGCGAGACGGTGGGGACAGAAAGTGGTGGATAAGCTGTAGTTAAGAAAGGTTTTAAATGTAAAGTCTTCTAGTGGAAAAATAATAAAGAAACAGAGTAAACAGTTTGAAAGACATAGTTATTTTTTAATGGATTTCAAGTTGTAATAGAGGATGGTCTTGTTGGGCCTGTTTGGGAGTGAGCCTCCTAGATTACGTTGAGGAAAGTATGTTAGACACAATTAAAAGTTTTATTTTTTTTAGTTTCCAGGAATATAGCTCAAATGGAACAGCACATGTTGAGAGTGAATATGAAAGAAGAATGATGTCTGTATTTAATCATGTACTGGAAGAAGTGGAATCCCTCAACAGGAAGTATGCTCCTGTGTCTTACTTGGCAAGTAACAGTTTTAAATGCATATTTTGTTAGGCAAAGGCTCCAAGAACTCTGCAACTCCATATATCTGTGGTGGTCCAGAAACTGAAGAGCACACTGGGTTAACTAACATAAACTCTTACTGGCACAAATGGTCTCTATGGAGACTCTCTACTTCAAAAATACTTCAAAAAAGGTTTTGCTAAGACACCTGTAACCTTACTGGTCTGATTAAAAATAATGTATAAAAAATTCCGATACTAAGAATATAGCAGATGCTGATAAGGTACATAAAAGTAGTGTCAAGGCTCTGTTGAATCTCTTGCCATGCTCGCATTCAAATACTGATTTTTTTTTCAGTGCTGGAGGGTCCAGCACTAGCCTTGCTTCAGTCACTGAGCTGTTGAGCTAGTACTGTGTTTTGTGAGTATGGTGTTTCTCTTATCAGCGCAGGTCATCAGAAGAACACAGTGTGTGAAGTGTGCTGAATGCAAACAGTGAGCTGATAACATACTCCTTTACAGGGCTAGTATGGTTTTGTCTTTTACTGTTAGTGAACATCATAAAGCTGAAGTGCATGGAACAAGGTAGTTCATTTGTCATGGCTGGCATCTGGTGCCTTGTTTCTAAATCCAACAGTCCTTACTGATTCCAAATTGCGTAGAAGAATGAGTTGTGTAAAATGCAGCAAAGGTAAATCCTGTAGACTTAGTTGTCACTGGCTCCATACCAATGCAGCTTGGTGACTTCAGTAGTGCTGTCTTTACTCATCTGAGCCAGAAGGATGGTATAGTGCAGTGGGGAGAGGAAGAGTAGACAAGAGGCTTAAAACTTATTTATTGCACCGCATAAAGTTATGGTAGATGCAAGTCTAGTTTGCTTGGAGGGGAATTGGTTTTTTGAGAGTTTGTCTGTGAGGGTTTTGTGTATGAGTGTTTCAAGCAGATCCTGCTCTGCTGACTGTAATACTAGGACTGAAATGATCTGGATTTTTCATTTTCTTGGCCTCCATGTTCTTTCCAGAGCAGTATATCTTCTTCATAAAGGGCAGAACATAAACAGAGAGGCTGAACGTAGCCACAGTCATCATAGTGGCTGTTATCCTATGACCGTATCAATATATTTGTGGACTTCTGGTGGAAATTAGTGCAGTTTCAGTACCTCAAGTGCATATCTCTTTCCTGTGCTGTGAAAGATAGCTTTTTTTCTCATTTGTTTTGGTTCTGTTTCTTACAGCATACAGCTTGTCTGTGCAATGCTGTCATTGCGTTGTTGAAGGTACCCCTTTCATTTCAAAGATACTTTTTTCAAAAGCTGCAGTCTACAAGCATTAAGGTAAGTACTGCTCAAATGTCGCCTAAAATTTCTATTTATAGAGTCTTTACTTTGAGAAAAGCCTTACTGAAGGCACAAAGCTTCAGCATTTTTAGTGAAGATACTTAACTGCAAATAGCATCTCAGTTTATCTGTTAGGAATAATTTGAACAATGTGCACATATGATATTAAGAATCACTAGGCTGTGACTTGGGCAAGTAGGATTCAGTTCTTTGATTACAAAGCCTTAAAGATAAAATCTAACTGGAATTTTTGTTGATTCTGACTCTGCAAAGCTAAATTGTGTTCTAGTCTGGGAAGGTAACTTTTATCAATATGTATTGTGTTTTCTTTTCCTTTAGAAAGCAATGTTTACTATCTTGGAAGAAAATTCTAATATTAATCAACTGACTGACTAAGAATAGCTATATGCAACCTTTGGGTTTTTTTTTTTACTTAGGTGCTCCATTTTTCTGGGAAAAGTGGAAAACCTTAAGATTTTTTTAGTATTTACTCTTATTGCATTTTACTTTGTTCAGCCTAATGTACTTAACTGTGGCTATGTTGTAGAAGATTTTTTTTCTGCTTCTTTTGAAGAAGTGTGATTAATGAAACTGATGTAAAAATCACATCTGGTATTGCTGATGATGCTTATGATAGTAACGAGTCTCAGATGTAAGTTCTTTGTTTCCATTTTGTGATTTCCCTACCAAACCCCTCCTTGGAAACTTTTCTATAAGAAGGTGTTCTGTTTCATCCTTGAATTGTGTTTGCTTTTCTGGAGGCATAAAATTACATTTTGGTTTGTTTTCTTGTGTTTCAGCTTGCTCTATCCCCATCTCCGAGGAATCCAGCAGAACCTATTGCAGTACAGAACAATCAACAGTTGGCCCTAAAGGTGGAAGGAGTGGTTCAGCATGGATCTAAACCAGGCCTTTTCCGTAAAATCCAATCCGTCTGTCTAAATGTCTCTTCAGTGTTGCAGAGCAAAGCTGGACAAGACTATAAGGTATGGATAGAATATAGGCTGGAGGAGTCTTATGGTTTCTTGCTGTATTTTCCTGCTCTTATGTTTGGCTCTGATTAGCAGAATTTTCAGGTTGAAATGAATGGGTTCTTCTGTAATCCTCTCACTCTTGACAGTTGATGTTCAAGCACTGGCTGGAGCCAGGGATAGTGTGTGGAAGGGACCTGGGATTTTTAAGTCTGCTGTATGCTGATACCTTCTTAGTATCAGCTTTTCTTCCAAACAAAAGGGGCTTTTTCAGAACAAGTCATTAGGAATTCGCTTGAGATCAGGAGAATTCAACCTAGGTATATATCATACGAAACTCCACAGGGGGGAAAAAAGGCAGGAGTAGATTATTGTCTACCACATAGCCTCTAGAACTTCTTTATCCTCATTCTAAGGGGTGGTGTTTTGTTTATGAAAATCATGAGGACAGGCTGTCCAAATTAAATAGCACCTGAGGAAAGGCATATTGCATTTATGTCAACAGTTTTATGAAAGATTGCGTGTCTAAAGTTCAGGTTCTGCTGAAGTGTGAAAGGCATGTTTTGGTGGGGTTTGGGGTTGTTTTGTTATTTGCAGGTTTTTTGAGGGGGAAACAGGACTAGGAAGTGTGTAATGTTTGTCTCTTGTTACTCTGTGGAAAACTAGAACCTCAGGGAGAAAAAGACTTGTTAGCTACCTTGCTTCTGTGAATAGATATAAAAATAACTCATTGATGAAAAAGCATGTCAAGCTGGCTCAAACGTGCGCATGCATTGGTTTAGAAAAATTGAGGACAGAGATTTTTCTTTTTTTTTTTTTTTCCCTCTCCTTCAAATGGAGAGTGGAAAACTTATTTTAACAGCTTTATATAAAATGGCATTTTAACCTTCCATGTGTTCTCAGATTCCTATTGACAACATGACCAATGAAATGGAGCAGAGGGTGGAACCGCACAACGACTACTTCAGCACTCAGTTTCTGTTAAACTTTGTAATACTTGGCACCCACAACATCACAGTAGAGTCCTCTGTAATAGATTCAAATGGTATTACCTGGAAAACTGGGCCTAAAACAACTATTTTTGTTAAATCTCTTGAGGATCCATACTCCCAGCAGGTTCGTCTTCAGCAACAGCAAGGACAGCCACCATCACAACAGCAACAGCAAAGAACAGCTTACTCACGGTTTTAATTCCCAGAAGTGACTCTATCCTAGTCAATGGTATTACAGTTTTTCTTGGACACTTTTTTTGAAAGACGTACAATTTTAACCTTCTAGAAAGTCTCGGGTGCCAATTCCTTGCTTTTTAAATTATCTGGGGTAAATTTGAACTTGAATCAGCGGAGGCAGCTATTCAAATTTGGAGTTGTGCTTTTAATATAAGAACTTCTACCTGATCTCTTTGCTTCTGTTCACAAACCTGTTGCAGCCAGGTCCGCAAACTTTGATAGCAGGGGACACTAAGAGCTCTTTGACTAGTACTTTCTGTACTTAGGCTTATAGGACATTGGTAAACGCTTTGGTTATTTATACAGAACTGAGTGAAACACAGAGTCTGTACCTTTTAATGTGAAGGAATTAACAGGAATATCCAGAGGTGATTTTTTTTTCTGACACTTCTGGTATCTGGCTGGTATATGTATATTATTACAATTCATCAGCACTACTTAATGCATACATCTGAAAGAAAATAAGTTGCAGCTCACTTCTCATACCCAGTCATTGTAGAGGGACGAGACTGCTTGAGGGGTTGCTGTCCGGGGAGTTTTCCAAGAGGCAGAATTGTACAGGTGGGAACATAACTGTTTCTCAGATAATATGGAAAAGATTACTATGTTGGTTTTAATTCTTCATGTATTTGTATTTCGGAAGGCTTTGGTTTTGTTGGGTTTTTTGTTTGTTCTTTTAAGAGGGAAGTTATCATTATATTTTAACTGCTTTTTTTTAAAAAAATAATTTTGTATACCAAAGCTTTATAGTCTTGTGTACTCTTCGACTAATTTAGTAATCTTGTTACTTTTGCAGGATAACTGGAAGTAGAATTTTGATAATATTAGGAATTGATTCAGAATAATTTTGGAAATATGCTGCTTCATTCATAGTTTTCATGCTTCCTTTGAGATACAAAAGGCCGACCTCTGCCTGTGTCTGGACTCCCAGGCAATAGATCACATAACATGTCCTTCACCTTGTTCTCATAAATAATCTCTGCTTATCACTCTGCAGGAAAGTAGGACCCACTTGAATGTGGAGGAGGAAGGATGGCATTTCTTACAGAATTCAGTTTGTAAATGGTTTAATCCCTCTCATTGGTGCAGAAATTTTCACTGTTGTTTTCTCAGTAAATTCCTAAGATACTGTTATTTCAAGTTTATTTCACTGTAGAAGCTGACTAGAGCTTGCAGACTCTGCTTGCTTTGTATGTAGAGAATATGATAATGAATTGTTGTAAGCCTAGGTTTCTTTGGCATAGCTGGATGAAGAATTGTTTTCTCTCTGTTTTCTCGTAATAGTTGCTTAAGAAATCAACTTTCTTCCTCTTGGCTTGAGACTAACAACAAAAAAAGGAGGTGGTGGTCATAGATTTCGTAATATCTTGATCAGGTTATAAGCCTAAGCAGAAAAGATAATTGGGATGCAAAGTGGAAATAAGACTCACAAAATTGGTGAAAAATTCACCAGCATCCTTCTCAAATTTGATTTTTTTATTTTCTGCAGGAGGCAGAAGCTGCTGCTGCCCTTCAAGCTGGCTGAGGAAAGTGGTAGTTTCTGTCCACACTTTTATAGTTAGATACTTGCAGTTTTGTGTGTGTATATACACACAGCTATGTATGCATGCATGTGTACATCTACCTATAACTACATATAGTTATATGGTCCAGAAAGAGATGATTCATCTAGTGTTGTGCATGCAGTCTATCAGATTGAAGTTTTTCACTATTTGTGGTTGGCTGGGGTTTTTCATTAAAGTCGTAGATCTTAACCATAAAACCCTCCTTACTGTAATGCAGAAAATTAAAAAAGACTAGGAGGTCAAACATTTTTTTTTTTTATCCTGCATAATGAATGTGTGTTTCTTGCTCTGTTATTGACCAGTATGTTGCTGGAAACCTGTAATGGTGGCATTCCAAAATAACTCAGAAATAAAACAAGATTTCCACACTGGGGAGTAGACTTTTCTCATAAGTCACATGATGTTCACAGTGCATGGCTAAACTTCTGAGAAGTCTAGTAGGAAAAAAAAACCTATCCAGGGAAAGCCCTGACCTGAGGCTTAATTGTCTGCGAGCCAGTAAGATTAATCCTGCTGCAGTTGAAAAAAATTGTTCCTTCTCCAAACAAGTTTGTTCACCTGATCTGAGGGGCCTCTAGAACTTCAGGAACTTGTATCAGTTTTGAAGCCAAGTCTGAAAATCTGGATGCTAGGTATGGGAGATTGCAGGGTGAGGGTGTCTTCTGGACAATGGCAAGTAGTACTTATTGGAAATTAGCTTGTATAGAAAGGTGGCTTGCTGTGCAAGTACCTGAATTTCTAACAAACTCTGAAGGATTTCTCATGCTGGCTTATTTTCAGGTTAGTCATATGCATGTGCTGATTAGGAAAGACCGTGGACCTCTTACTAAATTGTCCTTTTACATAAGCACAGTGTTTTACATTATGTGGGGTTTGCAGTGAGGTTATTGTTTGGGTGTTTGTTTTCTTTGTTTTCAAAGATTGTGGTTTTTATTCTGTTGTGGTTTAACCCTGGCTGGCAACTAAGCACCACAAAGCCACTTGCTCACTCCCCCCACACTGGGATGGGGGAGAGAATCAGAAGAGTAAAAGTGAGAAAACTCGTGGGTTGAGATAAAGGCAGTTTAATAAGGAAGGCAAAAGCTGCACACGCAAGCAAAGCAAGGAGTTCATTCCCTGCTTCCCATGGGCAGGCAGGTGCTTAGCCATCTCCAGGAAAGCAGGGCTCCATCATGTGTAACAGTTCCTTGGGAAGACAAATGCCATTGCTCTGAATGTCCCCCCCCTTCCTTCCTCTTCCCCCAGCTTATATACTGAGCATGATGTCATATGGTATGGAATAGCCCTTTGGTCAGTTTGGGTCAGCTGTCCTGGCTGTGTCCCTTCCCATCTTGTTGTGCACCTGGCAGAGCTGAGAAGTCCTTGGCCAGTCCAAGCACTACCCAGCAACAACTAAAACATCAGTGTGTTATCAACATTCTTCTAGTACTACATCTAAAACACAGCACTCTACCAGCTACTATGAAGAAAATTAACTCTGTCCCAGAAGAAACCAGGATATATTCCTATTACATTGTGAAATACACTCGCAAACAGGAACCAAGATTTTCATAGAAATCAATGACTCAAAATACCCGAAGAGAAGTGAGGAAGGGTGTTAACAGTTACAGCAACATACAGAACGCTGCTGTTGGAGCTATCAGCAGTGAATGTTGATCCTTGACTATTAATAGAAGCAGGGAGGTTATCTTGCTTGAATCCTGCATTCTGTTTCTGGTGCCTATACTTGAAGATGTGCAACAAAGAATCTAGAAAGCACTTCTGTGATATGGACCCAAGTTAAATCTCCTTAGTGTTTCTCAATAAACAAAGCAGTAACTTGATGACTATGCGTAGCTGCACACTGATAATGGAAGACAAATCAGGTATTTTTCACTTACTGGCAAAATAAAGAAAATAGTGTCTAGGCATTGGTCTTGAGACTGCTGCAAAGAATTCAAACAACAAAGGCTTTTGTAGGCAGATACATCATTATCTAGTCTTAATGATTAAGATATGTTTCCTAGCTTTGATAAGTTCTTGGGCTGGGGAAGGGTGGAGATGATCAAATTAAGATGACTGGAGGTATTCATAATACATGCAGTTCTGCATTAAGCCAATAGTAATTAGCATTTAACCTCGTTTCTCGGTGGATGATGTAGCCTGTGACTCTCAGAAGTACTTACTACGAATTCTCAGACATACTGGAAAGTGTCACTTCTAGATTCCTGGCTGATCTCTTGCTGAAGGCAATGTGGAACTCAATGAGGGATAGGAAAGGAATTTCCCCTGTCAAATTCTGCCTCTCTTGGGCGTGTAGACCGTAATTCGCTATGGTCATTTAAGTGCGTTTCATAAGTGATTCCCTGAAGTTGTACTCATTGTGGGTGTTCATGGCATCTTAGGCTTCCCTTTCTTCCCATTTCTGTTTCCTTGGATATGCACTTATTTTACCTGAGGGCCAAAATACCTTAATTTAGGTAAGGTTTTTATATTTGATAGTGGATGCGTGTATATCTTTGACTTAAATCCTGTGAAACTGTACAGGAATAAACAAGTCTAGAAGCAAGTTCAGTGGTCCTCTAAACATATGCACAAACTTTAAAAATTATTTTTTTAGCAATGTCACAACTTCAGTTAAAAAAAAAGCAAACCACTTATTGAAGGAATTGATAGGATTTGAATTAATTATATTGCATTCCTAAAATCTCTTTTGAATTACGATGTTCAACGTGTGTGTGCATGTATATAGAGAAAGAGAGAGCTCATACAACACAGTATAGAAGCATTTTGCCTTCAAAGTAGCTATATTTTCTGTCTGTCTTTCTGCTGGCCTACAGTGCTTTGCTGCCTCCTTGGTCAGCATATTTACACATGTGCCTTTTTACTTCTTAGCAGCATCTTCTCAAAACAATCTGTTCCTTCTGTGGCAGTGCAGGTGTAGTTGGGTATCTGCATTGTCCAAAGCTGGGGGGGGAGGGAAGTAAAGGACGGTAGAGGGGGGGCTTAGGAGCCCTGCCAGCTCACCGAGCAGTTCTGAGCTGAGTAGGGCCCAAGAGCTGGTAGTGCTCTCTGCTCGACTGCTGTAACCAAGTGTCCAGTGCTGTTGGAGCTGCTCTTGCTTCACCCACATAAATGCCTTAGATGCTAAGCAAAAGGAGACTTACACAGAACCTTGGCCTATTACCCTCCAAAGCGGGGAGAGTGATAGAGACAAAAGCTCTTCTTGAAAGCAAAGGAAAAACAAGTGTTACATTGCTTTCCTTGCAAAATCTATTATGCAGTGTTGCAGTTAAACCTTCTCCCCATGTGAATTTTTAAGCCAGGTGCTGTTTTGTGTTACTGGGAAACAAGCCTATCTTAGCGGTGACCCTAGATAGCTCCTGAGTTCTTTGTACTCTAAGGGCCACCTCTCTGACAAACAACAGCTGCTCAAACTCTCTAGAGTAAGAGTAATCCCTGATTACATGTATTTCAGTGAGAGTCATCCCCGTTATCGCTCTGCATGCTTCAGAAAGTTGGTCTACTCTGCTGATTGTCAGCATAGTGTTGAGAAAATAGGAATTATCTTCTTGGTGTTCTCATTTGCCTTTAGGATAAAGTCTTTATCTACCTCTTGCTTGCCCACCTCAAAGCGATGCTATCAAAATTAAGGATAGCTTGGTTGTCTGTTAATGGAGTTTCCAATTAGCCTCGGCTTCCTGATCCAAGGATCTTAGACAAGGTAAGAAGAGTGTTCAATGAATTTTGAGAGAAAAATCTTCTTCAGGCTAGAAAGAGTCTGTGGCAATGTCTTAAACTCTTCAGTCTACTGAACACCTAACTATAGTAAAAAGCTGATTTTTTTTTTTTGTCAGTGCTGAACCAGTGGCACAGTAGAGCAGTCAAGGAGATACTGCAGCTATTGTGTAGAAATTCTGTTGTATAGAAATAAAACTTAGGCCATAGCCACATCACAGTCTTAAAAATAACCTTTTTTTTTTTCCTTTTCCAATGGAGAGGGAATCTTCTATTCCCTCAGATTTGAGTTTGATGGGGTTTTCAAGAAGTCTTTTAAAACTCTGATTAATAAAAGCAATTGTTTGGAGTTTTTTATGGGTATTGGTGATGACTACAAAGCTCCGAAGAAGATAAAATAAAGACTTGTGTGGGTTGGCTGATTTGAAAGACCTTTGCTCAACACTTTAAGTATGTGACTTGCTGGCAGTGCATCTTGCACATCCCTTCCCTGCTCACTAGAAGTACTAAATTTAGGAATGCAGTTAATTTGAAATTAATAGCTGTCCATGCTTAATGCACAGCTTCCAACTTTAGGGCGAAAACAACGAGTAGCGGCTGAAGTAGAAGAGGCTGTCCGTCATAAATATAAACTGAACAGTACATGGATGGGTGGACTCTGCCAGAGATGTGGGTATGGTTTCATGCTTCACTTAGCCCAGCCTAGGTGTGTGGTGTTGCTGAAATGGGCTCTCTGCTGCTTATTCCTGCCCCGTCTCTGCTCTTTGCATCAGATGGCGAGTTTATCCAGTTAAAACAGTTTCATTTTGCTAGGGTGTTTTTTCAGCAGAATCAGCAGGTTTGTCTTGGCTGACTGTACAGCAACTTCATCACAGAGCCAGTACAAAGAAGATGCTGGGGAAGGCGTATGCTGTGTCCTAAAAGTAATAACCAACGGTTGGACGGACTGACCGTGCATCTGTGGTATATTGCTGTATTTAACACAAGTCTGGAGGGAACAATCTGTTCACATACATCTGAACTGTGGCATTTCTGCATGGCCAGTTTGAGAGGGCAGAGATCACTGCAGTAGTTACCAGCTGCCTGTCTGGCCTTCCCCATCTGCTGTGAGGCAGCGGATGGGAAGAAATGCCCTCGTGGAGCAGTGGAGGAGGCCAAGCCTGCAGTGAGTTGTTGGTCTTTGCTCTGGAGTGGGTGAGGTGTGCTTGAATGTGTCCTGCTCTGCCAGCAACGCATATGGGCAGTAGCTAATAGTTGTGAGCAATGACAGCCCTCTGACTCGCCTTGGTCAACAAAATCCTAAAGCATGCGGAGGTCAAGGTTCTGATTTCACGTTATTTTTTAGTTATACTGGTGTTAGCCCTACGTGAACGCTTTGAAATTTTGGCTCAAGCCAGGCTTTTATCACTTAATCTTAAATCCACTGGCACTAGTTTCATGGGTACGTACAGAAACTGGTCTGTGCAAATGGCAATGCTCAAACCAGATCATCATCCACTGAATAAAGTGGAAAAGCAACATGGATGGAGAGCTCTTGGAGCTAGTCACCCACCTCAGACAGATAGGAAATTCCAGGAGTTGTAATAATTCACAAAAAATGTTGTCTGACCTCTTCAGAAGAGGTCTCTCCCTCACTTAAGAAGGGAGGAACAAAACCTATTGTAATTAATTATGCTAATTGGCTAAT